TATATATATATATATATATATATTTGTGTTATACTATTTTCATACTTACAATATAATTTTTTACAATATTTATTTATAGGGTCAAATATGATGAATGTGCATGGACGTACTTTGGACGCACAATCATCATACAGTGTGGTGACCAATTTACGTGATTCACCACTTTCTGACATTGCAAATAGTAATTTAGTTTGTTTTTTTTCCTTTACAATAATTTACAACTTCAAATTAAAATATGTGTATATTTTGTATTTTTTTTATATATAATAATAACTATATAAAGTATCAAAAAATACAATTAAAATGGATCTTGTTATAGAGTGTTGCATGACAAAATTTGGGGTTGGAGCACGTCAGATGCGTCAGTTGGTACGTTCAATAACGCCATTTTTTTATTTATTATTATATATTATATATGTTGTTATTGTTATTGTTATTGTTATACAATACAATATAAAATGTGTATAAACATGCAATTGTTTATATATATTACTCTCTTTATTTATTGCAACAGGACAACGTAAGCGTCGATTGTTACCTTCTTATAAGCCGACTCAAAATACGACTAACAGCATCTTTATCGATCTCACGCTTGGTGAAGAGATAACTCATGGAACTATCCCAGCAAGTTCTGTTATTGATCTCACACTTGATAGTACAATTCAACCAAGCACAGAAAAGAGAAAACGTGGTCGTCCTAGGAAAACAACTGGACAATCTTTAGTAGTATCTGGTAATTTTAATTATGTCTTTTTAATAGACAACATAATTTATTCATAAAAGAAGGGTTTTATAACATTTTTATATGCATAAACATTTACAGAATATTGAGACATGGGAGATGCAAGCTTTCGTTGTATGTACTGCGGTGCAATTTTTTGGTATGAGGAGAGAAAAGGTTATTATCAAAATGCAGTTGTGCCTGAGTACACCGGTTGTTGCACGAATGGCAAAATTCAGCTCCCTCTTTTGAAGAATCCTCCCCAATTTTTGAAAGTTTTGCTTCAAGGAGATGGCCAATTAAGCAAACATTTTCAAGATAACATAAGATCATACAATAGCATGTCTGGCTTTACTTCTTTGGGAGGAAAGATAGATTCAGATATCAATAAGGGGACTCGACCACCGATGTTTTCTTTACATGGACAGAATTACCATCTCATTGGTAGTTTGCTTCCTTCTGAAGGTGCTTCTCCAAAGTTTGCACAATTATATATATATATATATATATATATATATGTATATATATATGATACAGAGAACGAAATTTCTAACTGAATGAATGCTGTGAGGTACGAATTTACTATATTTTTTATGCAAACTTAAATATTTCATCTATTATTTAAATTAATTGTTTTTTAATTAGAACATTTAAATATATATCTGTGTAACGTTGTGCATTTAACTTACAAATATTATTTATTTATTGATATGCAGGAATGGATTTGGAAGTAATAATTTGCATGAGGATATTGTTGTTGGATTGAAACAAATGTTAGACCAACACAACGAATGGGTCAAATCATTTCGCAGAGATAGGATGCGAGAGCTTGGAGAATCAAATGTTCGAGTGCGTTTGATTGGTAGGAGATACAAAGATGCTAGGCGATATAACTTGCCTACGAGTTCAGAATTTGCTATACTGGTTGTTAGCGATTTTGACTAGGCTTTGGGTGAAAGGGACATATTGGTAGAAACTATGAGTGGTCATCTTCAACGGATTAATGAACTAAATGCTTCCTACCTGGCGTTACAGTATCCTCTTATGTTGCCTTATGGTGAGAATGGGTATAGAGAAGACATACCTTTTAGGGAAGGCACGCCAGTAAGACAAGATGGTCGAAAACATGTCAGTGTAAGGGAGTACTTTGCATATATAATGCATGATCGAGAGCATGAACCTCCGACCATTGTTTCTTCTAGAAGACCATATCAACAATTTATTGTTGATGCCTATACCATGGTTGAATCTGCTAGGTTGCGATACATACGTCTTAATCAGAAGAAGTTCCGTTGTGATTTGTATAATGGTGTGGTTGAGGTCGTGCTTCGTGGCGACACCGATCCCAGTACCATAGGAACGAGAATTATTCTTCCTTCATCATTCACTGGTGATGCTCGGAATATGATTGAAAACTATCAAGATGCAATGGCAATTTGTAGATAGGCTGGGTATCCCAATTTGTTTATTACATTCACATGCAATCCCAAATGGCCAGAAATTGTTCGTTATCTCGAGCCGAAGAAATTGCGAGCTGAGGATCGACCAGATATCGTGTGTAGGGTATTTCGAGCTAAACTTAAGGAATTCATTAGGGATTTCTGTCAAAAGCAAATATTTGGGAAGGTAATAGCAGGTGAGACATTTAATATTGTATATAATTATTGTAGTTATTTATTAATCATCAACACAATATATATATTTATCTTTTGTTAAAATTTTCAATTTTTATTTATAATGAAAACAACATTGTATTTCCTTTCTCCTATTATTTATTTATTTATTTATTTATTTATTATTATTATTATTATTATTTTTTTTTGCAGTTATCTACACGATTGCGTTTAAAAAACGTGATTACCGCATGCTCATATATTGTTATTCCTTTCGAAAGAGTCGAAGTTTCTCAACCCATCGGACATAGACAGAATAATATATGTAGAGATACATGATGAATCTTCTTATCCTCATTATTACGAGGCCGTAAAGGAGCATATGATCCATGGGCCATGTGGTCTGGAAAAAAAAGACTCGTCGTGTTTGGTGAATGGAAAATGCACCAAAAGATTTCCTAAGAAGTTTGTTGACTCCACAACAGTTGACGAAGAGGGTTATCCACGGTACAGGCGTCGTGACAATGGAACTTCTCTAGTAAAGAATGGTATTGTTGTGTACAACGGTTTTGTCGTGCCTCATAACCGGCGTCTTCTTATGAAGTTTGGAGCGCATATTAATGTTGAGTGGTGCAATCAATCACGATCAATAAAATACATATTCAAATATGTTAACAAGGTAACGATCGTGTGAATGCATCATTTTATAAAACATCTGCCGAATCGGACGTCGAGAGACCGTTAGATGAGATAAAAATGTATTACGATTGTCGGTACATATCTTCGTGTGAGGCGGCATGGAGGTTGTTCGGTAATGAATTGCAGTACAAAAAACCTCCCATCCAGTGCTTGAATTTCCACTTATTTGGAGAACAAAACCTATTATTTGTCGATCAAGGAAATCTTCAAAACGTTCTCCGTAAACCCACTGTTGATTAGAGCCAATTTCTTGAGTGGTTTGAGGCAAACAAAAAATATCCTGCGGCGAGGGAACTAACTTATGCTTAGGCGCCGTCCATGTTTGTGTGGAATACAACAATCAGGGAGTGGACTCCTCGAGTAAATGAGGACCAACCCTCTGTAGGTCGTTTGCGGTACTTACCTCCTGAGTCTGGAAATAATTATTACTTGCGATTGTTGCTTACTGTTGTGCGTGGGGCAAGATGTCATGAGGACTATATGAAGGTCGATGACATCCAATATCTAACGTATCATGATGCTTGCTGCGCGCGGGGTTTGTTAGAGGATGATCGAGAGTATGTAGATGGCATAACCGAGGCAAGTCAGTGGGCATCTGCAGACTCCCTTGGACGCATGTTCGCATCATTGTTGTTGTCCGGTTCATTTGGCAGACTAGATGACATATGGAATAAGTGTTGGCATATGTCTGACGACATACTGTACAGATATCGTCGATTGTTCAATAACCACGGTACTCATACTTTTCATATATTCATATCTATTTTCTTAATTATTGATTTGCAAGTTTATACAATTTTTTAATAAGATTTAAATTGTGCTGATGTTCGTTTATATCTTTTTTTAATAGATTTGCTCCTTACTGATGAACAAATTCAAAATCTTTCCCTTGCTGAGATTGAGACTTTGTTGAGACATCGGGGTACAAGTCTTCGAGAATATGAGCCTATGCCATTTTCGGATAGGGACAACATGCATTCAACTTCGAATCGTCTGATATTAGATGAGTTGAATTATGATCGAAAGGCCCTCGCTGTTGAACATGATACGCTTCTTCAAAACATGACAGATGAACAGAAGAGTGTCTACGCCAGAATTATGTCTATCGTTCAATCAGGCTAAGGTGGTGTGTTTTTCGTATACGGTTATGGTGGAACTGGAAAGACGTATCTGTGGAGGAGCTTATCTGCTGGTTTGAGATCCAAGGGTAACATAAACCTTATGCGTCGCATCTAGTGGAATAGCATCGCTTTTGCTGCCAGGTGGACAAACGGCGCATTCTCGATTTGCTATACCATTGAATCCACACCAAGAATCTACTTGCGACATCAATCAGTCGAGCCCTCTTGCGGAATTGATAAACGGTGCTTCTCATATAATATGGGATGATGCTCCAATGATGCACAAACACAACTTCGAAGCTGTACAGACATCTCTGCAAGGTATTATGGGAGCAATTGACCCTTCAAACAAGGAAAAACCTTTTGGCGGTAAGACTGTTGTTTTTGGTGGAGATTTCCGATAAATCCTTTCTATCATTCCGAAGGGTAGCCGTCAAGACATAGTTAATGCTACCATAAATGCTTTTGACATATGGAGAAGTTGTATTGTGTTAAGGCTTACAAAAAACATGCGTCTCCGCGGACTTCAAGATTCGAATGAACGTAATGAGCTTGCTCGGTTTGCGGATTGGATAGCTAGCATTGGAGATGGCACTATACGGGGGTCGAATGATGGTTGTGCAATGATTGACATACTCGAGGACATTTTGCTAGAGCCATCTGATGATCCCGTTGCTCAAATCGTTGAAAGCACGTATCCAATGTTTAAGGAGGCCACCGATGATCCAAGTTATTTGAAGGACAGGGCTATATTAGCGCCGACTTTGGATGTTGTCGATTCTATCAATGAGTACATGACATCTTTGAATTTGTCGGATGGTCGTACGTACTTGAGCTCTGATAGTACGTGCAAATCAGATTCTAATAATGACTTTTTGCCTGATCTCCACACGCCCGAGTTTTTGAATAGTATCAAGTGTTCTGGAATACCGAATCATGAGTTGTACTTGAAGATTAGAACTCTGGTCATGTTGTTGCGCAATATGGACCATTCTATGGGTCTGTGTAATGGGACACGATTGGTAGTGACGAAGCTATCCACTCATGTTCTCGAGTGTAAGATACTCACTGCGATCACGAAGGTGATAAAGTGTTGATACCAAGAATGGCTATAAATCCTTCTGATGTTAGAATTCCTTTCAAGTTCCAGCATCGTCAGTTTTCCATTATGGTCTCTTACGCCATGACTATAAATAAGAGCCAAGGTCAATCATTTATCGCATGTGGGCTTATTTCTTAAGAAACCAGTGTTTAGTCATGGCCAGTTGTATGTTGTTGTCTCCTATGTCACAAACAGAATTGGTTTGAAAGTCTTAATTTGTGGCGATGATGACGTGCCAAAGAATCAAACCATGAACGTTGTATATAAGGAAGTGTTCAATAATATATAAATTATGTTTTTTACTTTCTAATAATCCTTATATTTTACATTTTTAGATAAGCTTTTTTTTTTATTTTTTTAATTAAGTACTTTAAATTGTAATTGAAAAATGTTTTTTAAAAGGGACGGAGATAATGAACCCCCGTGCATCGCACGGGTACTGTACTAGTACATAGAACACAGTCACCTCTTTTATAA